AGCGGCCCGCGGCGCCTACGGGGTCGCCACCACCATGAATCTGGAGGAGACAGTGTTTCCTATGGAGTAGGTTACTGCTGGAAAGAGTTTGCGGGTTGACCCTGGGGTCTTGTGGACGCAATACTAATAACGAAAGAGAGCAATCAGTTCGGTTTTAGGAAAGTCCTGTAACAAAATCTTTCAATAAGCACGAAAACATGATCTTCAATTGTAAATTTATCTTATTAATTTTCCATCGTATCATTAATATACCAAAATTGTAATTACATTTTGAGATAGTAGAATGGATATAGGAGGAAATAACAAATTAGATAATATTTATTTTAAACATTATTAGCAGTCTTACTTTACAAGCACAATACTAATAATACTAAAATTACCAATAATAATAATAATAATAATAATAATAATAATAATAATAATAATAATGTACGAAATCAATCTCCCTCGTGAATAGAAGTCATATTAATATTCGTTGAACCTCGTTTCTTAAGAACTCCCTCACGTTATTTCCACTCTGAAACTGTTTTTAAATAGCTTTGTTCTTTAGGACAAGATTTCTGGTGTCAGTCTCGTACAAGTTCGTCAAATAATGAAATTTTCATATCTTCAGAAAAACTTTCGCGAATCTTTCTCCTTGCAAATTTAGGGGTTTTGAATATAAACCAACAAAACAGAGCTATTTTATGTATTGAGGTCTTTCAATGCAAAATAGATTTTTCATAAATTTAAAATCAGAGGAATTAATGCTAAGATTAAGTTTTAAAATTGTTTATATCTGTGATTTACAATATTCAAAGGATTAGATCTCTAGAAGTATGAAATATCAATTTAGTTTATTTTCGTTTTAAGATATATATTTTTGAAGGTAAACAGAAAAATTCAAGGTACAAAACTGAATTGAATTATGCTCATTTGAATTCATTAACAACACTTAATATAAATTATCGATTATGACAAGATAATATTGCTGTATTTACTTCATTTCGTAAACAGATACGTTTATTCAGTAATAATATATAAATAAAGAAAATCGAACAAGCAATCAACTGTAGGAAAATACCAGACACCAAGTCGATTTGTTTTGTGAATTCATTCAATTCACCAGATAATAAAAATGTAAAACGTGCCATTTTATTTTCACTAAAGCGTGTATTAGCTTGCTTTGTGTTTTGGTGTGACGCGTCATCTCAGCCCATAGACCGGCTGAAGCCGTTGCTGTGGATGGCTGGGGCAGCGAGTGCTGAGACGGGAGCGTGCTAGGTGACCTCTTGGGCGCGAGGGGGGGGACGTCCGTCGAAGAGGGTGGCCGAGGGGAGTGAAGGGGTAAGGGGCGGGGAAGTGTTTCTTAGCTCTGAATGGTCAGGCGGGAATGTGTAATAAGGAGGAGCACAAAGGGAAATTGTGCAGTGACGAGGAGGAACGCATGCACGGCCGAATCAGCGTCGGTTAAATGGACGGGAAAAGCCTTAGAAGAAACACGCTTAATGTAAATGGCCTCTTGAAATGCAGAGATAAAAGGTATTCATCGCGAATTGTAATATAAATAAAACAGATATAAATTTCAAAACGCATACATTTATTACTCCAGGACCACGATAAGGTTTTGTTCAAAGGAACCTTACCTCCATTTTAATTTCTTGTAAAATTCTTCTTTGCTCATCTGCCAGAAACATGAAATGAGTTAATGCGCTATGCATTTAAAAAGCTACTTGAGTGTAGGAAATTCCTTTTGTGTTGAAGATAATTCCGTTATTTTGTCATAAAGCAGTTGCAGATCAAGTTTTAAGATTATTTTGCCATGCGTTTCAAGAAATATTAATAACATAAACTTGATAGAAACGGAGATATAATGAAGAGATGTTTTGAACGAAATCACTATCAATAGAAACATAAGTGATTAACGGAAATGAACAATTTTCAAGAAAATACAATGTTAACCATTATTTCGTGCTCCTATTCAATACTTATTTGATGATGATGAAGAAGAGGATTGATTTCTGAAATTCCCTAGTTCTTCGTTAATTTCTTGTGGAACTGCTGTTAATATCCAGAAATAGGGCGGAATTGAAAACTGTATGTCTTTTATTTGGGGATCACGAAGATAAATCTTTTTCATTTATAAAAAGTTTGCTCTATCACATTGAGTTTGACCGTCGTTCACTGACACACCCTGCCTGGAGCGTCCATTGTTGATGGACGAACGTTCTTCTCGGGGCGGGCACCTTATCTCTGAGGAGCTCTGTGCAGCAACGCTCCGGGTGGGTGCGTGCCCGTTGTACCGTCGGTGGGTCGGGGCGAGGCGGGGCAGAGCGGCGGCGGAGGCGGTGGCAGCGTTTAAGGGCCGCCCGCGGCGTGTTTGCTCAGCGCGCCCTTTCGCCCTTTGTTACGCCGCCGCCCCATTGCTCTTTTTAGCCGCCCCTCGCGGCCCGCGCCCTCGGCTGTTATTCCGAGTAATTTGTATCGGATGAGTGGTGTGCTGGGTGATCGGGCCCCGGGGGATCGGGGAGGGGGTCGCAGTCACCTGGCCACGGCCTGCCCCCCTCCCCCCACGCTCTCGCTCGATTGAGCGCGCTGCCCCCTGGGCATGCCCGTGCCCCCGCCACCGGGGCGTTCGGTCGCCCGGAAAAGACGGCTGAATGACTATCCTGGAGATCATGGCATCTGGATTTGATTTCTTCTTTCTTAATAGAGACGTAATATTCTTCAAACAGAACTTGAGGCTGAGTCGGTTACTTAACGTGTCACTAAGGTTCCTTTTTCGGATCTTGATACAAAATGTGTCGTCAATCCTGTGTTCATATAAATTTGTATCTTCTTCTGAGATGCGATGGTTTATTATAACTGGATAAAGTCACATTATGTTTATCAATAAAGATGTACAAGAACAAACTATGTCAAGCGTAGTGAGCGTATTGTTTTGTTGACATTGTAGATTGACGTATTCCGCAAAATCTCCTATGAGATATTCCTTACTCTTGACCAGCCGCCGCCCTGCAATTGTGCGCTCAAAAGAAAGGTAATCGGAAGTATTTTGAGAAATTAAAATATATTGTGAGTACCCGACGACCGCGGATTCAATCAAGTGTTATGTAATAGTGTTATGTAACTTTGTTATGAAACATTTACGTTTCCATAATTACAACCCGAAATAATATGGAGCCTTGTGAATTTAATTTTGAATTATATTTTTGTTTAACGAATTTTTCCGTTAATAATTTCTAGATCTCTAAATCCCTTTCTTATTATTCTAATTGCACAAATAATAAAAAAATGTAATCAGAATAAAATGAAAAATAAGAAATAGAACTTTACCCTAAGTCAAAAGAAATCCGCACTCATCATTCGCCATCAAATTATTTACAGCCTTTGTATTCTACAGCTTCAACTTCAAGCACACAGATATTGGGCCTCCAAATGCGGTAGAGTCAGTAAGAATTCAATTTGACTGATCGCCCTACTAATAGGCTTTCTTTTGCTTCCACAATAACATATATAGTATTGCTTAGGATTTTGCACTCAAGTTCCTATAATAGAAATCCTATTTTTCAATCAATTCACACTTTTAATTATTATCTTTCGTATTATTCCGACTTTTCATTAAAAAGTATTATGAGTTGCCATGCCATTTCGTTCACCGGCAAGCCTGAAACATATTACTGCCATGTAAGAATACACTACTACTGCTCTATAGCCACTAGCGTAAAAATAAACTGTTTCGCAAGAAACCTTCACTGAATGTCATTTCTCCATCATGGCACATCTCGAAGCTCTTCTTTTCAAAACATTACTTTTTTAAAGCTTCCTGCTGTAATTTTTTCATTTTTGAATTTTTAGGCATTTGCTTATTGCTGTATTATTTAATAATCTTCTTGATATTGTTACATTTCCGTAATAATTATATTTTCTCTATCATATGTACTAACTATGTCTTTCTTATGCATGTTAGTATTTCTCTTATTTGCGAATTTTTCACAAACTTTTTTTGTCAGTTAATAATTGTGTAAGTATTGTGACACTTGTATTATAGTGTAATACAAAGTAGTCTTAACTGTAAATAAATGTTATACAAATTAGCGTTGACGGTAATTTTATGTTTATGACTCAAAGGTCCAGCCTCAAATTTTAATTTTTTTCCCGAATCATTATATTTTGATTAAAAATTAATACATTTTTTAGTTTTTTGTTAATTCGTCCATATATTTATTTTACATGAGTTAACGAAATTTTTAATCATCAATCAAGTATTTCAGCTGAAGTAATGGTTCTGTCATTTCCAGGTAACCAACATTGCATTTCAGAAATATACACGTAGTAGTTTTAATTTCCAACACACTTTCTACGTTCATCCGTTCGCTTCCTTTACCATCGCTCTGTCGCGAATCCTCACACTGGCCGGTTTACGTGGCTCAGGGCATCTGTTGAAGTCACTGCAGTGCATCTGGCCGGGCGGTCCTATGTTTCGAGTCCTGACGGTAGCAGGATTTTCGACACTAGCTAGATAGCTAGGTCCAATTCAGCCGCAGTAGGTCAAATTCTAGCGCCTGGCTTCTCTGATCAAAAGTTTTCCGTGGTTTCTTCTATCTCACCAGCGGAAAACCTAACAAACGGGTCACGGATCGCGCGATCTTTCCTTCCCCTTCGTTGTCCTATCTCACGTCTTACCTACACACACTTGCGCTCACATGTATTACACTACCATGTCGGGAGCTTTGAGCTTGTTCCGGCTAGGGCGGTGTCTTGCTGGTGGGAGATACCTAGTTGGGAAAACGCCACAACCCGACGGATAGATCAGCGCCGGATTCCATCATCCAGCAGGGGACGATCACCTCCTCCTCCTCCCGAGTTAAAAAATGCACTATACTTACGGCACTAATGTTCTTAGCTGTTTACACCCGAAATCACTAATCCATGAATGAAACAAGACTGCTCCCTCCTTCCTTCCCGTTGGATGTGATCTGGGGATCGTGCGCTGAGCGTCCGGTATGTTCCCGTTGCAGAGCCCGTGCTGCACGGCGGCGGGCCTCCGTTCTTCGGGTACGGGCTGGGCGCGGGCGCCGGCGGCGGCATCGCCAAGCCCATCCCGCGGCCCGCCATCTTCAACCCGCACCTGCACACGCTGCTGGCATGCCGCCATCCCTACCTCACAGGTGAGTGGGCTCCTGGCGCCGCCACCACGCGCGCTGCCTGGCGGCCCGACGATTGTTATGTCGGTTCCGCTGGGAAACGTCCTTGACTCTCTTTTGCACATGTCATGTGACACGTGTAATTCATGTAAGGTTCGCTTTTCAAGAAAGCATAAATTATTAATGGTAAAATGTTGGTGTGTAATAAAACGGCGTGTTGATGCTAGTCTTTATTGCTGAAGTATACATGTAAACTGCGTATTCTTGACATATTTATAATGGCACTTGATGTCTAATCGGTTGTTACGGTGTCATCCAATCGGAAACTTGAACGTTACCATAGTGACGTCACAATAATGACATTCAAGCTCTCGATTGGATGACACCGTGACATTCTTTAAGTGTCGCAAAAAATAAATCACAGTACGTATAATATACCGCACAATCGTTTTTGTTCCATCATAGTTGTGGGATATTATACATAACTATAATACATAAATATTATACGTAAATAAAATCTTCTATATGTTGACGTGAATTCATTTTTTAAATTAGTTAATCTTGAGTTTGCGGTGCACCTCAGTCATGACCATCATCGCTACTGTAGTTTATTTTTGCATTGATACTAATATATACTTTACTAATATTTACTAATATTAATTTATATTATATATAATTTACTAATATTTTCTAACATATTCAACATAGCTGTAGGATGCCGCAAAATCAGTATGTTATTACACTTATTAAAAGAGCCAGTGGTTCTGAGTATGTTGACACTGCCTACTTGGCTGTAGCAAGCACTTGACTCCTGGACACATACTGTTTACTGATCTATCAACGAAGTTAGCTGTTCATTTCGGACCGATGTGTTTGCTCAGAAACCCTTAAGTTCCTTCTTGTAGAGAGAATACAGATGCTGATAATTCTGTTAGCTGTGCTGACCACTATTTTACAAAAATTTATGAAGGAAGGTTTTAAGAAATCGAAGCATAAAATGGGCAATTATAGTTTTTTTCGTAATTTCTCGTTTTTTCTTAAATAACGTAACGTTTTTCTTAAATAACGTAACGTTTTTCTTAAATAACGTAACGTTTTTCTTAAATAATATAACCCTTTTTCTTAAATAATATAACCCTTTTTCTTAAATAATATAACCCTTTTTCTTAAATAATATAACCATTTTTCTTAAATAATATAACCATTTTTCTTAAATTATATAACCATTTTTCTTAAATAATATAACCATTTTTCTTAAATAACATACGTTTAACACAAGGAGACTAAGACTAGTATTTTATTATCTCGTAACTGCAAGAAAAAATGCGGGGCAAGTTGGTCACTGTTCGAAATTATCCAAGGGTAAGAACAAAGCTCTGAATCTTGCACTGGCATGTGAATTGTTTTCCTCAAACCGATTGATAAAGAGAGATTACATATTATGAGATTGCGAGGTTAAACGTATTGTATTTGATATGCTGCAGGTTTTATGCATTCTAAAGGAATCTTTCGGTATTTGAGACAATCCAAATATGTTATAAAGACAATCCTACATTTACAGCAGCTCAGGATATTATGTTAATTATAATAAAAAGATGGTTAAAGTTTTCAAAAAAAAAATTTCTCCTTTGCTTGGGTGCTTGAGGTATCATTTGGATATTGGTAGCCTATGAAGATTTAACTTCATTAAACATTTGTGAATTTTAATATATATTTTTTATAAAATACTATTATGTATTCTTTCATAAGAATTCGCCGGTAACTCTCTGAAAATAAATGTACTAACTGTGTGCTGTTTAGAAAACACATATGTTTTCATAGTATCATAAATACATATTCTATATGTAACATTTTTTATCAAAAACAAAATAATAATCTTGTGTTATCGTCATTATTTACGTTCCGTAAGTAGAAGTTACATAAAAAACGTTACAAGATTTGAGAGTATTAAGTACAAGTGAGTAAAAGCGTCGAAGAAGAGCCCTTAATCGGCTGGGAGCCCGCCTTGCACGTGTCGGTGACCTCGATTGCCCAGGGCGGGTCGAGGCGAGGCGGAGCGTGGGAGGCGGCCCAGGGAACGACGTGGCGGGCAGGTGCTGCTGACGCCGGACGCTCGCGACCGCGCGTCAAACTTCGCCTGACCGCTCCAGCGGCCTCCGCCCACGCTCCCCCTCCTCTCCCCTCCCCCACCCCCTCCTCCTCCTCCCGCAGCCGCTCCATCACCGTCACGGCGCCCCCTCCCCTCCCCTCCCCCAACGGAGCTGCCTTCCTTCAGATGGCGGCTTTTTAGACGGGTGTTTTCAGCCATGTATTTTAGTGGGCGTGCCGTTGTTTCGAAGAAGCTTTCCGTTCTTTCTCCTAACGCGGTTTTCTGTCGTGGGGAAGACTTTGAGAGTTAATGGAAAGTCTTAGAGAATACAATACTTTATTATGAATCCTGAAAATATATACCCGCAGTATTCGTGTATTTACTTCATGCCACCGCCGCCTTCAGTTGAGTTTCAAGGACCAATATTCTCATTGAAAAATTTTGTATTGGGAAATAAAATAATATAACAAGCAGTATAGGTGGCAGACAAAATTGGTGTAGGCTGCATAGAGTCTGCAGCCGTAGAAGACGGCGTACGTGAAGCGATTTGAGAATGCTGCGGAGGGTACATGGCCATCGGAATATGGAAATAATCTAAACAAATACACTCATTACATTTTCCTCATATGCTGAACTTACGTTAACTCGTGAATGTATTACTACGAACTTTACGTTACGTTAACTTACGAACAACTCGTGAATGTATTACTACCGTAATCTATCGCAATATATCACAACCTCAAAACAGCGGGGCCATTGGATTTGCACGTTTGCTCTGGTTACTATGGCTACGCCGAGCGGAAGGTCTGAAGAAAACTCGTATGCATTATGCGACCATCAAAAACACACATTGGCGAATAATGACACATTTTCACTACACAACTATATCAACGTAAGCTTCACAGGTACTACGGTCGCTCGTAGCTTCCCCATATGCAGAGAACTCACCGTTCATTCCATTTTATCTCGTGTTGTTACTTACCTTACCCAAAGAACCAGAGTTTGGTATTGAATAATTACTTGTGAACGTAATGATAAGTTGTTTTTCCGAAGTTGGTTCATGTTATTGCGATAACAAAGTGAGATTATTTGAGTTCGTCGTACTCCAAACTTCGTTGAAGACTCGCAATTTATAGAATGTTTTGAATGAAGGCAATATTAGGTGTGGTTACGCTAAGCATTGTTGAAATAACATCCTTGTTAGAAGTCTTCCTAGGAAGGTTCTTCTGTAAAGGCATGACGAATTAGGGAGAAAAAATAAGGGATAATAAACCCATTGAGGAAACTTTTCACCCAACACTAGATACTATGTTCATTGACACTAGAGTCTACGTTCATTGTCAAGGAGCACACCAACCGCGCTAAAACGAAATTGGATGGAATTCTCCTTCATAATCCCGTCGGAACGCAGCAGAATTCTAAGCAATTGCGCCAAATCGGTGAGAAGCTACATTAACGGAGTTCATTGCGAAACAGGTGAACCACAAACTCGAGCAGCGTCGGTGGCGAAGGAACAGCGTGGGTGGTCCACGTCTCCGGCGACGGCATTTTTCCGCGGATCATCCCTTCTCACCCCAGAAAGGGGGCGATCGGCCACCCGGAAGACTGTGAATCCTTGGGAGGGGGGAGGGGGGTTCATTGACTCCCCCAAGGATGAACCGGCCACCGGGCGCAAAGGCCACCGGGTCTGGTTACCTGTGTAAACACGGTTGCAAGCGCCCCCACAAAGGACGTCGAACCTCCTCAGCCCGCACCCACAGGTGGTGAGCTTTCCCGCGGTGGGCGGTGGGCGGTTGCTCTTTTTCTTGCAAATCGCTTCCCAAACGCGGCCGCATCACCGGGTACATTGACTGTACCGCCTTGCGAGTCGACCGCCTCCGCCCCGGAGAACGCGCATTGTCGGTCAAATTGAGTTGTGAATTGGACGAACGCGAAGCAATTTAGCGGATACTCTCTGTAAAATAGGGCTTGTGCCGATTGGGCGCGTAGGTGGAATTTTGTGGCGCGGAATTTGGGAAGGTGGTTAAGTTATGTGTGTTCTGTATTTAAGCCGCGGGGGGGGGGGGAGAGAACGGAGGAAGATTGACCGTAAATGCAGTACAAATAGAGCACACCTCTGTTGTGTTCCGCATTACCGTCTATACCTGCTCTTCTCTGCATGCTCCTTTTGGTCTCTTTTCAAATGTATGTTAGTTGTAGAATTCGACATGGAAAATTACTTGTTGGTTTAAATGTGGAAATAATTCGGGACTCTATCAGTACAACCGAAATGTTATTTTAGTAACAGAAAATATTATTTTGTATTAATTTGAGTAATTTCGTCAATAATAGTAAAAATTGTAGGTGATGTACGGGAGACAAGTATAAATATGCGCAAGTTTTCTTAAGCTCCAGATTCTCTTCTCATACTTTTATTTACATAGTTGAAGGATGAATAAAAGTACAAACAAAGCGAGGGTAGGAAAAGTGTTTGCATCTAATGGGTTATATTTATTTTCAAGTTTTGGTTTCTTTGAAGCAAAAAATACATTTTCGAGGGAGATTTTTTTTAATGTAATTTTTTTCTTTGTTAGCATAGAAAATGGAACGTAATAACATAAACCACAGTCTGGTAATCCTACAATTTTCTGCATACATTAAGAAACGTATATATAAAATATTTCATTTGTGCAATTAGCTAAACAAATATTCGTCGCTTTTTTTATGGGTTGGGATGTGGTTGACTGGGACAATTTTCATTCTGTAATTTCATATAACTCTACAAGAAGTCACTTTCTAATATGTTAACATATCCAAGTACTTTGTTGAAACATACATAATATTTTTATTCACTCCACATTACATTAAAATCGTGACAGCTCTCAAGACATCTCGTAGATATCCAGGAAGCAAGTGCGTCCTCTCAGCTTCTGATCTCATATCTTTTATAGAGGAGAGCGACATAGTATTAGTTGTCCTCCCGCATCCGCCGGCAACACATTCCGACCGCGCACGGGCGTGAACCTCTCCTGTCCGTCCGAGCGAGGTATCGGAAACCGTTTCACCGCTGTTCCGTGAACAGTGGCCGGGCGGCGACACGCGCAGAATAAACAAATTTGTCAACAAGGGGGGCGAGGGCCCTCGAGCGGAGCGGCGCGGCGCGGTGCGATGTGGGTGCGGCCGGTGGCGTTCTATGCGGTGAGGGGAGAGGGGGTAAACGGGGTGTTCGGGGCTCGCGGACCTTGGGATCATTCCGCTTCGCGTGGAGTGTGGGGCGTTTTAGACCCGGACACACGCAGGCGCCAGCGACGCCACTCGCGTCAAGCGCTCTCAACCGGCCCGTCGCATGATCTAGCCCCCACCCTCACCACGCTCCCACCACCCCCAACGCTCGCCAGCCACCCGCCTCACAAAACTGCCTCCTTCTCTCCTCCTTTCGCCTTCCACCCCTCCGCGGCTTCGTCCGGGCAGTCGGTCACGCGCCGGACATGGCGTTTCCCCACTGGCAATGCGCGATGCGCGCGGAGGGCGGTTTGTAGGGCATGTCGCGGGTCGCAGCTGGAGGGGCATTTTGGGATTCCAAACTGTGTGGGCGAGTAATGCAGAAAAAATGGGGTTGGACACCTGTGCCGAATGCTACTACAATTCAAATAACTTTATTTATTCATCCTCAGAAGGAATCGGTGCATTCTAAATGACGTCTATTTGACAGAAACATAACAGAAATGGGACAAATATAGACGTTTTTAATTCTCGCCTTTGTTTTCAGTTCAGTTCTTTTCATTTCAGTTCTCTTTCTTTTGAATAAAATAATAAAAATAAATAATTATGAAATTTTTTCACGAATAAAAAATGATTATATTGAAAGTAGAAAAACTGTTTACATAGGAATCAAGAAATGTGAGACGTAATAAATGATATATTGAAGGAAAAGCCTTCAGAGAAGATTCACTATGTCAAATAATTGCTTTTAAATCATATAATTAATGTAATGAACACTATTTTCATTGTTTTGCAGATTCACACACTTTTATTATATTATTGTTGTTGTTTAAAAATTAGACATCCCGTTTGTTTGCCGAACAATGCCAATGTGATTACATAAATATTTTATGGATGAAAAATCGGAAATCAGGATTTCCCATTCAAGTTAATTTCTTCTATAAATTAAACATTAATGTGCAAAGAAGTCATTGCCCGCGATGAGATTTTCTATTAATGTCTTGTAAAAAGGCATTTAACTATTCCAATTAAAGAGTTAATCAATAATCTATGTTCCGATCGGAGTTGCGAGTTCAAACACAAATGAAGAATGTTTGGATTGTTTTCTGAACAGATTTATATTGATTATGGTGGTATGAAGAGACCGATGTAACCGTTTACCTGAAGTCATCTCCTACATGGAGTTAATGAAATTCAAAAATTCCCCGCATCCCAATTGTTGTAAAGTAAATTGAAACTATGGCTATGTAAACCATACACAGTACATACAGTACGAAAACATAGATGTTTCCAAACACCAATGATTGTTATGGACCATATATATTTCGAACATTGATTTTTGAAATTTGAACATCGATGTTTTGAATCATCAATTATTTGTTGTCAATGTGGCATTCCTAGACAGCAAGGGAGTTCAATGTCCGCAAACGTGGAATTTTTGAAACATTATGGTTATGATTCAATGTTTTTAATATCGATTTTTGAAACTTGAACATTATTGTTTCTTTCCATTCGAACAATTATTATCGATGTTTTATTGTGGTTGTTGCATCCCTCATCGCGAGGTCTGTTTGATGTGAGCAAACACGGATTTTTTTGAACATCTGTTGTTATGGGCCTATATATTTTGTACATGGATGTTTGACCACCTCGATGTATCATGGTCGTGAGTAGGAATGGCAAAAACACGTCGATGTTTTTAAAAAATCGGTAATTCGAGCAGAATCATCGACATTATAACATCCATGTTTTGCTTTTGATGTTTTCTTCAGATCGATGTTTTTGTATAGAAACATCGATGTTTTAAAAACAATTTCTCATTATATAAATAAAATTTTCAGTATCTAATATTTTTCGTTGAATAAAAGTTAAATCAATTTCAAATAAACTCGTTCCTTTTTGGTGGATTGCTCGCAATCAACAGCCATTGACAATTGTTACTATTGTTACTATTGTCGATCCGCATGCGGCACACAACCTTTGTTATTCGCAAACTTCCTCCAGTGTTGTTACTTTTTCTTTTGATTTTGTACGGGGTAATATTGTTAAACTGCATTTGACAACTTAGAATATTGATTAGAAAATTAAGATGATAGCCAACTTTTAAGGCAGAATATTCTTTAAACTAATATTGACAGTTTTATATATCACATTATAACCAGAACATGTTATGTATTACCTTAGATACGGGACATTTTAGGTATCAGATTAGAACTGGGACATTTTATGTATCACATTAAAACCATGACATTCTATGTATCTCATTAGAATCAGGTCTTTGATTTGTTTCATAATATTTAAAACATCTATATTTCAAACATGGCTGTTTTTATTGATTTTGTCAATGTCAATGCTATTTGATCGGCATAGAAATGTTTTTGGTGAATGTGCCGCCGCTAGCGGCGAGGGCATTCGTATCAGATTAGAATCGGGACATTTTATGTATACCATTAGAGCCAGGACTTCGATATGTTTTATAATATTCAAATCAATATTTTCAACCTGGCTTTTTTGTCGATTTTGCCATTGTCAAAGCCATTCGTTCGGCGTGGCAATGTTTCTGGCGATGTATCGAATGGCTGAGAGGCGAGGGCGGACCGCGCTGACGGCGGCGGTGCTGGCTATGTGGCAGTGTCGGCGCCGGCGGCGGGCGGCGCGGGCGGCGCGGGACCGGGCGGCGCGCAGGCCGGCGCGCCCACCGCCGTCTTCCCGCTGCCGGGCTCCTTCCCGTGGGCCAACAGCTCGCGCGGCAAGCCCCGGCGCGGCATGATGCGGCGCGCCGTCTTCTCCGACCTGCAGCGCAAGGGGCTGGAGAAGCGCTTCCAGATCCAGAAGTACATCTCCAAGCCCGACCGCAAGAAGCTCGCCGAGAAGCTCGGCCTCAAGGACTCGCAGGTGAGCGGGGTGCGGGTACCTCAATGTGCGTAGCTTAAGGCATGGAAAACTCGCTTTGTACCTTCTCTATTAATTCAAATCAAAATTACAAACGTCAATAAGCATGGATTGAGACATGAAAACTCACTGATTCGCCTTGTATCTAATCCATTAATTCAAACCAAAATTAGATTCAAAGCAAAAGTATAAAAGTCAATAAGCATAGATTAAGAAATAAAAAGTAATCCAATCACTTTTAATCTACTCCATTACTTCAAAACAAAATTAGATTTTCGTCTTTTTTGTTAACGCTTGTGCATGTGTGTACTGCAAACGGTCGTGAAGTTAAATTTTGGTTTGAACTAATTGAGGAAGTAAATATAGACATTTGGTGAACAAGATACTTTACTCTTTTCAGCAGTGTTCTTCAGTTCTATTTTAACATGATTTATTGTCGTTAATAACCTCGTATATTTCAAGTTCAGAATCTTGTAACTTTTCAGGATAGTTGTATATTTTGAAATTTATAAATAATTCATCTTTCATATATTCTCTATTTATGTACCACTGGTTTAAGATTACCCATTACAAATATGTATAATTTGGGATGTTTCAAATATACACATAAGCCGTGTTAAATAAAATTTGCATATCATTGGGTATGTTTTAAGGAGACAGTTCTTATTAGTAATTATAAAGAAAACGTGTTGAGTGTTGTTAATAATATGTAGAGCTCTGTCTAATCAATTCAGCTACTTTTTTTGCTACGATTAGTCCCGCTCAATTCCAGGTTCATATGGTCCTTCCACCAGCATATGCTAGTTATGATGTCGAGGTTAGAATGTGACGTTCTACCCCATGACGTCCCAATCTTGATCGCGAGATGATGCGATAATTGTAATAATGATGGGAAGAGAATAGAAAGGAAGGATGTCATGCGATCCGTGGCCCGTTTTGCAGGGTGCTCATCCGGCATTCTCCTGGAATTAATCAGGTTAACCACTGATCAGATCATGCGGTCTACGCATTCGCAGGTTCCCAATACTCACAGATAAAAAATCACATCGAATTAGTTTCTGGCACCTCGCCGGTATCGAACCCGCGGCCTCCCAATCACTGGTAAGCTCGAATCGTAAGGCGTTGGCTTCAGGCTCGTCAATATCGGCGTAGTGTTCAATGTATCTACGATTGCACTTTTAATACTCTGAAGAGATGATAAACGGTAACCCATTCGTGTATAATGTAATATAGTTTTTTTATTAGTTGCCTGCAGCAGCTAGAATGCTGCTCAACAAAACGACCCAAAAAGGTTTTCCAAAAGTAGCAAGCATGGTTTCCAGGAACCGCAAATAAAATACTCTCTTATAACATTGCAACGTATTAAATATTTTAACAAAAGTAGCAAAGATTTAATGGCGTGCGGCCTCTTCCTGCGAGCCTCGCTGTCGCATGACGTTAGCTGTGTCGTGATCAGTGATGCAGTGAGAACGAGAATTCAGTCGGTAAGTGCAGTACGAGAAAAAGCGGAATAACACAACTTCATGGTGGGTTGTCTCTTTCTCCGAGCTTTGCTGTCGCATGGCCTGACGCAAGCACTGATGCAGTGAGAAGGAGAATTAAATCTGTAAGCGCAGCCTATTTTAGGAGAAATAATACCATCAAATATTTACATTTTTCAGTCAAAATCGAAACTGTTTGATTGTTTATAGTTTTACCTAGTTCCTGGGTATCTAAAGAAACCACGTGCATGTTTCACATAGTCGGATTCTATTAGGTTGATTTCAGTTCCAGCGCACATTGGTGATTAGTAATATAGTTAAGACTATGACATTTCATAATATCCTGGTGATATTGCAATTTATACTCATTCTTACCTCACCTAAATAATGTTTGAATTCATATTTCACGCAATATGTTCCTGATTTTAGTCTATTTGAAAGGTTGCTCATTCAAGCGAGAATTTGCAATAAGAATCATTATAGATTTGGCAGATAATACATTCAATTTTCAGTGTTTACAATGAATATTTAGGACAATGTTTTTCGTTTAAAGGGACCTTTCAGAATCATAGATTAAAATGTTTTGATACATATGATGATGAGAGTATTTTTCAAAAAGAAAACGGTCAATAGAAACGCTATAAAAATAATGCGAAGGATTTAAAGAGCTAATTCTAATATGCTTTAGCATAATAGTTAACTTTCAGTTAGAGTGGCACTTTAAGCAATGTGCAGTTTATTTACATGTGCAGTACATTACAATATATTAAACACACAGTAAAAACATTTTAAAAGAAGCACCTCACGGTCATCTTGGACTATTACTTTTGGCCGACGATATTTTTTCAAAACTACATGGTGTTGTAATTTGTGGCACTGAGGCGATATATTATTTTCCAGGACGATGTAATTCCTACGTTCTCTATAGCCAAGGTTCAGGCTTATTTGCATTAAGCTTGTTTGTAATGTAAGTGAAAAGGGATCAGTGGTGTAAGTTCATTACAACCTAGGGTTCATGATATAAGAGTTCAGTAATTGACATCTACTGTAATTCTAAAAAGAATATGTGACGTAATAGAACCGCTAGTTCAATTTCTGTTGAGTTAGTTGATTAGAAGAACCACGGCATATCCCATATGTAATGCCTTGTGAATTTGTATAAATAATATTTCGGTATAATACTCTATGAGTGAAGGATTAAATCTACCTTTTGTAAAAACTGATGTCATATTAACAGTGACTGATGTGCATATTTGCCGAACAAAATTTTAATTACGAGATAATAGGATAATTTTAATTTGACACAAACAATGAAAACATAACTAACTGAAATGCAAAATCATATTAAAACAACTCTTCTCATTTCCACGGGTAATAATACGGCATTAAGTTTCTCTATAAATCTCTCCCGTGTTTTCACATTCGTTTTCATTCATTACATACTGTGCAGTCCAGTCCGCGATTTCAAAACAATTTGATCTATGTAGTAATATATATCGTTTAAACTTGTGACTTTACACCTTCTTGACGTACTACTACAACATGGTCTCACTCCGGTATTGATTACATTTTTGCAAACATCATTCTAACATCAGTTATAACGCAGTTCGATCGATATTTTCGCAGTGAGCCATACGGCGCATCAACTGTTACTACTGCTCGATTCAACGCAAATTGTCACTCATTGTTCCACTTGTACCGGATTGCTATCACCACAAGCCACAGCTACAGGAATCCGAATTGTAACCTTTCCCTGGTCATTGCCAATACACTTCTCACGTGCTCCGAGTTCCACTATCTGTGCCAATACACTTCTCACGTCTTTTCAGTTTCACTAGCTTCGTTGTCCGTCCGTGCCTCTGCCACCTTCCTGACATTTCAATCACGACCTCTAAATCTCCCCAGGCGTCATTCACCCATTGCTCCATTTGTTCCGGATCGCTATTATCACAAGACACATTACAATCCGAACTGTCGCCCTTCGCGCTCATTGCCAAACACTTCTAAGTCTCTGTTCATACCTTCGTTGTCCGCCCGTGCTCTGCACCCCTGACATTTCGCCACGACTCTAGCTCTCCTCAGGCGCGCCGCCACCTATGCAGCAGCGCCGCGTTGAATATGCAAACGGCGGAGAGCGCACCGCGCGTCTCGGCTGCGAGGTACAGCGCCGCGCCGCCCGCGCCGCCGGCCGCCCGCGCCCGCCCGCCGCCGCACCGCCCGCCCCCATCTCCCGCGCCGCCCGTCCCGCGCCCGCGCCCCCGCCCGCCCGCCGCCAGCCCGCCGCCCCGTTCGCAGTCCTCTCGGCATAATGACGTGTCGCGCACGTGTGGCTGCCGCGTCCGCCGGGGCGCGAGCGCCTGCGGAGGTCGGGGAACCGCGGCTCCTCCGATCGCCGCGACTAAATCGCCGCGATTATCGCCTCGCCGAGCGGGCTCCCCCCCTCGCCTCTCCGGCAGGGCCACTTGCCCTCCGCGCGCCGCCGGCGCTTGCATCCTAATTGCGTGGCCTTCTCGCCGCGAGGGGACGCTGCGCGAATGACGGTGCGGTTGCGGTGGGTTTTTAAGCGCATTTTCATCGTGATGCAATTCGTTTGGTCGAGTGGCGCTTCGGAGCTTATTATAACGCATGTTTGCGTTTTTGCAAAGAGTTTTAATTGGTCGGATATTAATAGAATATTGGATAAATAGTTTACATTCTCATGGGGTTCAAAGAATTTTCAGACTACAACTAATTATTGAAAGCCAATGACTGTATCTTTTTCATTACCGGCTACTTTACAAATTTACACGCGACAAATAATAATGAATACCATACTGAGGGAGTGCAAAATACCTTAAGGTAATTTTGAAATAAAATACAAAAATTTGTCGACAATATTTCTATGGGTAGGATGGGTAAATACGAATAAATTTATACAGATACGAGTCATTGGAGACGTAAGACGTAAAATAACAATAAATACAAATTGAAGTAAATATTAAACATTATAGAAAAATAATTAAATAAAATTTCAAATTGTTAGCAATGACAAAAGAACATAGTAAGTCGGTGGGTTAGATCACATCGGAGCCAAGTAATAACAATCAGAACAAGTGAACGGCGGAGGGGGTTTGGCGTGTTAGATGAACAATTTTCATCAGATTTAATCGGGGTTTGGTAGAGTAAAGACGTGTCGCTGTGATGACATAGTGCTGTCACGTTTTCGTAAGAGTTTGTTTGAATATGTTAGACGTAGGACGTATGGTCCACAAGTCGTAAAAGGTTACGAGAAATAGTTAAGATAAATATTAGTAAGTACTTTTATGACGCGAATTGTAGAAAAACTGATATGGAAACTTGAGTGTGAAACTTCCAAAAATGCTGGAAGAAAGCTTCATTATGGATGCGGGTTAAATAGGGATAAAAATCAATTAAAGGAGGGTAGTGGGCCTCGTCACGATACTAACACATTAACATTAACGTAATAAACGATACCAATACTCTCGGAGAAATATTTCCGCAATCTTTACATTTGTTGACGAA